AAGGAAATGGCAACCCACTCCCAGTATTCTTGCCTGGGAAATCCCGTGGACAGAATAATGCACGCACTATGCTCTCTTTCCACTCTCCCCTTCCCTGCCAATGCCAACCCTTGGCTGAACCCAGACAGAAATTGAGATGCTACGGAAGCATGGATAAGCAGTCCAAAAGTTGCCAAAGAGGCATCTTTCTGGAGTATAGGACAGATCATTGGAGACTGAATACAGACACAGGAAGAAAATGAGATGGGTAGTACCAGAATTCCAGCCTTTCACATAAACATATTTTAAAGTCCACCAGTTAGGAACAACAAGCCCATTGACTTGATTACATTCTTAAAGACCTTAGAAAAGTTCTCTTTCACATGAAGACATAATGCATTTGAGCAGTTTTATAAACTATGACTTCTAACCAGAAGATTTATGGTTACAAGAGGGAAAGTAATACATGAGACATAAGGTAACACAGAGGGAGTTTCCCCAGGAGGTTTTATGGGCTTTTTTCACCTTATGATGAGTCAGAGCACCATTCTGTGAATTATCAAGGTTCAGTTTAATATTTGTGGGAAGAGTGGCGATGATTCTGAGTTTTTCCTCAAGGAAACCATAGAAAGGATTATTTCCAACATGTTCCCTTGTTGATTTATGCATGTTCTTCAACTTACTCCAAATAATGTGAAAAGGGGGATCATTTCTTGGTCTACACTTGGAAATAAGAAGGAAAGCCAGAATTGCCCATACCTCAGTAAAACTCCTAGGAGTAAAATAAGTATATTTAAATTATTTGCAATCCTCTACTCTTTCCCATGAGAAACTAACTTTTCCTACCTCCCAAACATATAGTTATCATTTCTGTGAATTCAGTGACCTCCTCCTCTTCCCACCTATTAATGATTCCCATCAGATCACTCCTAGCATTAGATCCAAGCCTCCTGGACATCTCTTTGATGCTCCAAAGGTTCTTTAAACTCAATGAACTTAAAGTCTGTTTCATCCCCCTTTTACTGACCATCCATCAGTCACCCAATCTTTTACTCCACCTCTATTCCTTTTGACGCTTCCATCCCCTCCTAATAACCCAGGGTTGTTCATTCTGCTGACTTTTCCTAATAATGATAATAAGCAGACTAATTTCTAGCATGTGTTGAGCACTTAGGATATATCAGACATGGTGCTATGCACTTTATATGTGTGATCTTATGTAATCCTTATTACACTCTTCTGACAGCTATTATGTCTACCACCAGTAAAAGGTGCAGAAGCTGTACTTAAGGTTACAGAGCTAGCATACGGCAGGCTGAGAATTTAAATCTGGTTTGAAGCCTGTGCTCTGACCCACCTTCTCCAGCAGAGCAAATTCAACATTTCAAGGTTTAGCTTAATGCATTTGCCCTTTAATGAAGCTTTCCCAACCTCTCCTACCCTTTCTTCTCCTATGAGATCAGCATTTTCCACCCACATTTATTACAGTACACATTATTATTTATGCACTGGCCCATTGATTAGTTCCCTCATGAAATGTATTTTGAGAGAATACTCTATCAGACAGAGTGCTTGACACAGGTTATCAGCAGTAAGCAAGCCTGAACCTGGTCTCCTAGAGACCAGTGGGAGAGACTTTAAGCAAGTAACCACACAAATACACCATAAAATCCCAGATGATAATTGCTATGGAGAAAACCTTCAGGTGCTGGTGATGTACCTGTCTCCAGGCATCATCTGAGCATCGTTATAGCCCAGTCGCTTTTATTTTCTCCAAGCTAACTAGTTCTCTGTATTAACATACATTTGGAGCCGCATTAATGAATTACAGAAACTGTTTAGGTTAGAAATTAGATTTCTAAATGGCAAGTGAAATCAGTCTCATAGAAATGGAATGGTAAAACTTCTTGGCCTCATGAGTTTCAGGAGTGAGAAGACAAATGTTAGGAATGAGAAAGACTGGATTTGTCCACAGGCAAAGTTGTCTCAACGTAAGTTTCTCAATTCAGGAATGTGCTTGTTCTATTTCATATAATAAGAATTTTGTGGAGTTCAGAACATAATGAGAAGCTCTATTCACTGAACTTTTGCCAAAAGATGTTGAGTGAGGGCCTGGAAAGATAAGCTGGCCCTTAAGAGTTCTTGTTCCTGCTTGTTGGCATAGCCTGTTTATCCTTTTTCCATCTGCAGAGTACAAAAAACTTACAAAAATCTATTTCAATGGAATATTCAAATATGATATAACATGTGTGATATACTAAAAAGTATATGCGTGCATACTCAATCGTCTCTGACTCTTTGTGACCCCACAGACTATAGCCCGCCAGGCTCCTCTATCCATGGAACTTTCCACTCAAGAATGCTGGAGTGGGTTGCCATTTCCTACTCCAAGCAATCTTCCCGACCCAGGGATCAAATCTGTCTCCTGCAATGGCAGGCGGATTCTTTACCACTGAGCCACCTGGAAATCCACTAAAAGTATTTCCTGGTATAAAATAGCTATAATATTTTGAAGCAATTTTAACCTTGGATGTTAAGTGCCTCTGAACTGACAGCAGAAACCACAATAAATCCTCAAAGAATGACATCTTGGATCAGGATATTATTAATATGACTTGACTCAGAAAGAATATTGAAATATAAATTTTAAGGGTTTCATCAATATATACAAAACACAATATAGACTCTAAGGAATATTATGAAGAGATTTTACATTGCTCGAACATGTTAGATACTAGCAGTAAACTTTTCTCTGTTTCTGTTGCCTTATGATGCAATTTACTGCATTCAAGTACTTGAATTCACTACTCTTAAAATTATGACAAACTGTACCAATTTGGATTCTGTTATTGGGAAATCTGAATTTTAAAAGATACAGTCAACCTAACAAATAACCATTGGTTAATCCCAAAGAATGACACTATTAATCTCATTTAGGGTGCTATACTGTAATCATGAATGTCACCATTCCTTTGCTAGAGTAACCATGTCCGTGTTCCCTTTACTCATAAGATCCAGACAGGTATGGGCATGTAAATGAGGTAGTTAACGCTAATGTGAGAACTTGGAAGTTTAATGATGGAAATGCTATGTGAACACTGTGGGTGGTGGTGGTTTAGTCACTAAGTCGTGTCTGACTCTTGAGACCTCATGAACTGTAGCCCCCCCAGCCTCTTCTATCCATGGGATTTCTCAGGAAAGAATTCTGGAGTGGGTTGCCATTTCCTTCTCCGTATAAAACACTGTACTAAGTAGTAAAAAAATCACTGCTTCAGAAATTATTTGAATTATCCCTAGAACTCTGTAGAGTACAGAACAGGGGGATTATTTACCCCTTCTGTTATAGATCATCTCTTCAATAGTAAAACAATAATAACCACCCCCCAAATCTGTACTAGCTTTATTTTTGAGTTGCTTAATAAATATAAAAAAATAAAAAAGTTTCACTTGGAGATTTTCATCTCTCACCTATTACCAAGACTTTTAACTGCTTCCTGATCAACAACATTGAGTTTGTATTTATTTCTGCTTCATTTATTGCCAAGGTTCCCAGTTCTGCTGCCTATTTGAGCCACTTGGTAAGGTTCAAAAATGTGGAAGATAGTTGTTAGGGAGGGCTTAGGGACTGAGCAACTGGTGACTGAAAGCTGTGCAGGAGATTCTAATGCACAGTCGGGCAGTGAAGCAAGGGTTTGCTCCCGCTGTTGTTGCTGTGTTTCCCTGCCTCAGTCTTGCCTTCTGATATCTTCCATATGCTGCCAGAATGATCTTTCTGTAATGCCAGCAGACTTAAATTCAAGCCTGAGCACAGGATGAAAGACTCAACATGATCTACTCTTAAATACCAGACCTGCTGCCCATTCTTAAAGTTATTCTCTTTCCACTAGCTTTGTACCAAGCATTTCCTTTCAGCATGCCTGCCCCAGCCTCTGGGCCTGGCACTTACTCCTCCCTTGCTCTGAAACGCTTTCCCCTGTTTATCCGCCTGGAGAACTGCATCTTCTCCAGGAAGCCTTTCCTGACACGCCAGACCCCCTCCTCTGTCAGTGTTCTCAAAGCACAAGTCTACTGGGCTTCATGTTTTTGTTTGATGACTACTCATTTTTTTTTAAGTTTTCATTGGAGGAGAGTTGCATTAGTTTCTACCATCTAGCAAAGGGAATCGGCTGTACATATACATACATCCCCTCCTTCTGTGGATTTCCTTCCCATTTACGTCATCACGGAGCACTGAATAAACGTCCCTGTGCTATACAGTAGGTGTGCATTAGTCACCTATTTGATACATAGTATCAGTAGTGTATATACGCTAATCCCAATCTCCCAGCACATCCCACCCCTGCCTTTCCCCCTTATGACCTCTCACACTGCACCATCATTTTAGAACATATGACGCTCTCACCTTCATTAGACATCGTGTGAGCAAGGACTATGTCACATTTGCCACTGAATCCCCCAAACTTAGCACACTGCCTAGCATATACTGGCTTTTTGTATTTGCTGAATAAATGAATAAATAGCATATTACACTATTTTACTTATTACAGATAGAGTCACATTGGGTCCACTGAAAAAAAATCTCAGATGATAAAGCATCTGCCTACATTGTGGGAGACCTGGGTTTGATCCCTGGGTCTGGAAGATTCCCTGGAGAAGGGAATGGCAACCCACCCCAGTATTCTTGCCTGGAAAATTCCATGGATAGAGGAGCCTGGTAGGCTACAGTCCATGGAGTCGCAAAGAGTCGGACACGACTGAGCAACTAAGACACATTTATTTAATATTTAGTAATAGCAGTGATAATTACTTTAAAAATTAGTCTTTTTATTTGGCTATGAGTGGATTTTAAACAGGGTAAAGCCAAAGGAGAACTTTAATTAAATCCTCAAGAGTACCCTCCTATTAGCAGCATCCCCAAACCACACAGTTTCAGAATTACAGCCGTTGATACTCACCTTGGACTCCGATAGGGGAAGGAAGCCCACTTAATGCCTACCCACAACTCTGGGGAACATGCTTACTTTGTATTTGCTTTCTGATCTGGAAGGGGTGGGAATATGTCCTTTTTTCTTGAAGGTTGTAAAGTGCTTGCACTGCGGACACGGCTTGGTGCTGGCATCAATACGGCCAAGTTCCAAGAAGTACTTGTATTTGATGGAGTCTTCATGTGTCAGGTTATAGACAACCATTGTTTCTTCCAGGAATTCAAAGCACTCAGTGATAGGGCATTTGATTTCCACTTGGCCAAGCTGCACCTGTGTGAAAGAACAAATGGGAGAGAAAAAAAAAGGCACTGGTTATTACAGTTCTCTTCTTTTTTCATATGGTAATGCTTATTTCATAATTATAGCAAAGGATTATCTGTCACTTTTCATGATTCCGTAACATAATAAATGATAATCACTTTGGTACCTATGTCAGGTGATACCAAATAATTACTATATAATGTTTCCAAAATGACTGATAGGGTATTTAAGCATTCTCTATCATTAAATATAATGATTATCAAATATGAGAACTGGAATGGGCCTACATCACAGGCTCACCTGGGAAGCAAATTATCATTCAATGCTCTGCAACCTGCAGGATGAGACAGCATTCAGACAATGAACCAAATAAAAGAACAGCTTGGATGAAAAGGTGTTTCAGATTTTTCAACCTTACTACAAAGTTCCTGCCAGGCTCCTCTGTCCATAGGATTTCCCAGGCGAGAATCCTGGAGTGGGTTGCCATTTCCTTCTCCAGGGATATTGATTCCAGACCCAGGGATCAAACCCAGGTCTCCTGCATTGCAGGCAGATTCTTCATCATCTCAGCCACCAGGGAAGCTCAAATTTTTCTTACCATAGCCTTACTCAGCACTAGACTTAGGGCACATATAACTTTAAGAAGACCAAAAAAAAAAAAAAATAGGATTTTACTTATATATGTAACATCCAGTAGTCTAAAAATTATCGCTAAAAAGAAAAAACCTTTTCCCCTGACTTTCCCAGGTAAAGAACATATAACTGTTCCCATGTCATGAGAATTATACGAACAAGTAAGAAAATTAAACCAATCATAACACTGTAAAAAAATCCCTCTGAGATCTGGCTGCTTCTGAAGTAATTTATAAAATGAACTCCTTCAAAGAACTACAGAGTTAGATTAGGAGATGGGAGAGGGAATGTACTGGAATGATACATTTACTATTTATTTGGTAGAGAACTCAAAAAATGGCTAGCATTAAAAATTACAGTATAAGATTCAAGTACAAAGTGTGGACACAATTAAGTTTCAAAGGATTAAAAAAAATAAACTACTTTTTAAGGATGACTTAGGCTTGTTTTCCATAAATAGTAACAAAAACCCTTTACATTCCTGGTATCATAGTCTCTTTTTGCCCATCTTAGAGTAGTAAAGGGAGGCAGGGAAAGCCCTAAATGGAAAACAACCCCAAACCATTTCTTTCTCGCTTGGTGAACTTGACATTTTGAGAAGGTGAAACTCATTGACCTTAGTGAGAAAAGTCCACTATTAAGATGGAGAGAGGAATGCGAAAAAGTCACCTGATCTGGAGAAAGAAAACATCTATAAAGAGCCATTAACAAAGACCCTAAGTTCATAGTAACTTTGAACTTTGCTGTTTATCTCGAGGAAAGGTAGGTAAGAAGCTACACTCTATAGGATGCCTGGCAACGACATATTTAATATCAGTAAAGAACATAAGCCAGATTGATAATGAAAAAAATCTAACTTTGGATAAGCCACCTTATTAGTACTGACCTGTTGAAATGTAAGTTTCCATATCATCTTATGCTACTATTGTACAAAGATGGTCCAGAGATGCTTTTCAAGTATTAGCCCAAAGCAATTTTTTCTACTTGTTTGATGAGTCTGCTTATGGTTACAATCAGATCTTATTACTATACTTGTTAGTTATTACAACCCAAATTATGTTTTATCTTAAATTATTTTCAGTTATAGCTGAAGTCAGAGGCTGTGCAGATAAACTGGGATCCGAACAAGAGGGCAGAGTATGGAGCCACCTTAGGAGTCTGAAGTAGACACCTGTGAAAATTGAAAACTTTAGTTTTCTGCATGTGAAAAGACAATCTCTTGTCATCCCACACAGAAAAGTTCACTTGGTACATCTCCAGTGACTCCTGCTTACTGGGAAGCTGCATACTTGCGGGAGTAAGAGCTGGAATATTTTACTCCCAGGTCAATGTTTAACAACACCCCCTTGCCACTAAATTTATTTAAGCAAATAAATACTAACAATGGAAGCAGTAATTTCACAGCCACCCAGGTAGTCAGGTCTTAAAGAAATGGAATCTGGTACAGGACCAGACAATCCAAGCAGCTCAAGGGAATGGGTCATCTTGTTCCTCTGTCAGCAGTAGGCGTTCATATCATACTGGGACACCTACCGTCTGATGTCCAAACAAAGCCTTGTCTTCTTCATACTTCTCAAATATCTGCCTGCAAGTCTATTCCATTCCAAAGAAGAGGCTCCTTTTGCTTAGCACCCTCTGTATTTTGCCTACTTCATACCTTCTCTTCTCTCTGAAAGCCCCAAAATCTCTACTCTGCTACACTGAGTCAAATGATCTCATATTACACAGAAGCAATATGATAATGTCCCACTACCCTCCCACTACCAACTCTCCAATGCCTGTCCCCATCTTTTCTGTCTTCCCTCCTTTTTTTTTTGTATTCTTCCCTTTTTATTAGCTTTTATGTTTTTCTTTTATTTTAATTTTTATTTTATATTGGCATATAGTTGATTTGGGCTTCCCAGGTGGCACAGTGGTAAAGAATCTGCCTGCTAATGCAGGAGATGCAAGAGATGCGGGTTTGATCCTGAGTTGGGAAGGTCCCCTAGAGTAGGAAATGGCAACCCACTCCAGTATTCCTGCCTGGAAAATTTCATGGAGAGAGGAGCCTGGTGGGTTACAGTCCATGGAGTCACAAAGAGACACAACTGAGCATGCATGCAAGAATAGTTGATTTACAGTTATTTACAGTGTAGTGTTAGTTTCAGGTGTAGAGCAAAATAATTTAGTTATACATATATCTATTCTTTTCCAGATTATTTTCCCATGTAGGTTATTACAGAGAATTGAGTAGAGTTCCCTGTGCTATATAGTAGGTCCTTGTTGGTTATTTATTTTATATTAGTAGTGTGTATATGTTAATCCCAACCTCCTATTTTTTTTGTCTTCCCTCCTTTTACAACACAGGGCCTGAATCTACTTCCAGATTGCATGAATCTCTTAAAGTGTCTGTTAAGAATTCAAGTTTCCTGGCCCACTCGGGGCCTATAAAATTTGAATTATTGCTGGTAAGATAATAACTGGCAGTTTGGAACAATTATTGCTGGTAAGCTAATAACTGGCAGTTGGAACAATTACTCATACAAGCATTATTCATACTTCTTCATACTAACATCCCTTTTTCATAATAAAACACTACTCATGACCCAGGCATTCTCTGGCCTGTAATGTCTATTTTTTCAGAATTATTTCCTCAAAAGATCACTAAAAAATAATCATCATAACTGAGTAAAGGATGTTCATTATTTATTCAACAAGGTACATAATTCAACAAAGATGTATTTTTTCAACATTTTAATATTTCAAAAGTCAAGACTATCTTACAATTGATAGTATTTAACACTGTGCCATAGTTTAATTAGTATCATTTTAATTTTCTTAGAGACACATAATATAATACTGCATCCTACAATTGATCACAGCTTAGATATCAACTAAAAGTGGTTTCTACAGGTTTGGCTTGTTATCATGGATTCTGGGGAAATGAGAAGACAGAGAGAAAGAGACACAGGGTCTCTACTGGAGGAAACATGATAAACAAGTAAATGAATCAGGTAGACTGGAATCCGTCTGCCTATGAAGGAACTACACATCAAAGAAGATACCTCTGAAGAGGTGACGGCCAAGAACGAAAGGGCCGGTCATGCGGAGAACTTGCAGGAGGGACTGAATGGCTAAGAAAACAAGGCCCATGGCTCCAGGGCAGAAAGTGCCGCGGCGCCTGTGTGCAGGGAATAGAACTGAGCAACTGACACGTACCACGTGAGCCAGAAACGCAGACCCTGCTGGCTGTGACAGGGAGCGTGGAGCCTACTCTCAGTTACCAAGAATCGCTGACTGGTTTTCTGAGGAGGAGGGGGAGACCCTGACTTACACTTTACGAAGAAACCATCCTGGCTCTTCCCAGAGAATACACGGGCCCAGAGAGGGGGACGGTAGGTCTCTGGATGGTACCTGTTTCTTTCTCCCAGTGGCACTTGACTACCGCATTAATCTAGGCAGCGGACGACAGGTGGCTGAACTAGGTAGCAAGAGGTAGCCAGACATGACATGCATTTCGGAAACGGAACCAATGGGTTGTGGCGATGAACCAGATTTGGAGGATAAAGTAAAGGCAGGAGTCAAGAATTCCAGGTTTTTGGCTTGAAATAACCTGATGATTGGTGGGTGCTATTAATACTCCCTGAGAATTTCTAATAAAACATAGTTTACATGGATATGTGATACTTCCTGGAAATGACTCACTGCAAATTTAGTAAAGATCATTAATTCATCCACAAAACATATATTAAATTCCTATAATTCTACAGGTAAAGGATATAAGAGTCCAGGATACAAGGTAGCTTAAACCATGAATCCTGCCCTCATGGAACTTGAGACTACAATAATTAAATTTGTGTTGATAGCCTCTTCTAGCAATTTGGAATTTAGTGGTATTAATTCATTTAATATTCTATCCCAACATTTAAAAAATATTAGGAACACATATACATATTCACAAGTTTTCAGATTGGTCTTATGAACCCTTCACCCTTAAGTACCCACGCTTCGCCTTGGTCAATTTTATTTTTCCTCTGCCCTGACCTACTACAGTCCTCCCACATTATTTACTCCAAATACCAGACATCATGTCATTTTACTCATAAATATTTCAGTATGAGTCTAAAGAAAATAAGAAATCTTTTAAAAATATATAATCACTATACCAAGTATTTTTTAAAATGACAATAATTCTTTAATATCAACTTAGTTTCAGTCATGTCATCTAACTTCTATTTACAGGATTTTTTGTACTTAGTATAATTAAAACAAAGGCCTAAATTTCTGTTGTGTTCAATGCTAATACTACTATTTATATCACTGGAAAATATGCTCTCCAAATCTGAACAAAAGCATGTCCATTCTTGAAGACAAAATTATCTAATTCTACAACAGTC